AAGCCTATGTAGGTTCATGTTGTATAGACCCCAATATAACGGCAATATTCGGCATTTTTAAAATTTTAACTGAATTTTTAACAGATTTTATTATTTGAAAATTTCCAAATTCGTTCCAAATAATCCCGGCCGAACTTACTGCTTTTCAACTTGTTATTTACTATTTTAATGCCCAAGTGGCGCATTGAATAATGCAATCAACAAAATCTAGGTAATTTACTACAGTGCGCGCCATCTATACGTCAAATCTAGATTGCAATTCTTTAAAAACAACGTCAAATAAAAAATTCAAAAACAAAATGGTTAAAGTAAGTTTAAATTTTATGTTTGGAATGAAAAAATGTGCACAATTACCAGAGAAGGATGAGTGAAAGCAAGTTTTAAGCAGTTAGTACCAAAAAATGACAGAATCGCTATACTTTTAAAATTTCAAAAATAGATGGCACTCCTTCGAAGCCAATGTATCTGCCTTTTCTCGACCAATTTTCTTCCGATTTCTTGAATTCCGAGACTACTTTCATCGAAACACTAATAGTCGGAATTCGAAAAATCGCAAGAAAATTGGTCGAGAAACGGCTGATACATTAGCTTAGAAGGAGTGCCATCTATTTTTGAATTTTTAAAAGTTTAGGGTTTCTGGACAAATGCCGTTCTCTCTGAGCGAATTTCGTATATAGTAAGCGGACACTGAACCAAATTACCAAATTACGGCGCACGTTGTTACATATTCGGTATTTTAGGTTTATTTGTTTTGTCTAACAAATATAAATTTTCCAAAGGAGTTTAAATTCAGAATTTTGATAACGACAATAACCACCCTATGTGTGACAATCCAAATCATCTACAAAATCTTGTAAAAAGTTTTTCATTTATTTCTTTTTCATTTTCTATAAATTGTCTATTGACACGTTCAACTCGTCTCCATTTCGTCTGATTTTTTTTGCATATTATTTTCGAATTTGTTGCGGAAGATTACCATTAGACTAATGATCGTAGCTTATAACTTATTTAGTTAACAAATAGAATTCTTCATTGTTTTGTTTTCTAGTAAACGAGGTAACTGTGTCACAAATGATTTAGCTATGGTGGCTTAAAAGTCAAAATCGAAAATAAAAAAAAAACTTGTCAAAATTAAAACACACATCAATAGAATTGCAAATTGGTGTCGCCCAGACTTAACGGTCGACCATCATTGTGTGGCTGTCTTAATACTATATTGAGAATATTGATGAATGAAATTATAATTTCTTTTTAACAAAAAAATGTTTTTTAATGAAGGCGTATCCGTTTTCTTTGAATATCTTTATCGGAAAAAACTGGCCTCATTTATCCATTATCAATATTTATGTCGGCAAGGAAGAAAGTTTGACTTTAGGCTAAAGGAAGCTTTGGAATTTCCATGTAATATTACACCAGCCTTCTTGGTTCATTCACCTTGCCACCAGCATTCCAACGCAACAATGACCACCTATGAGAGCCCGCATGTATTATTGTTGTCTCTTGTTGTTTTTGCTGTTTTTTTTTTAATTCATGTCATGCAAGATTTTCTTTGTATGTTTTGCATTGCTTCTTTAAATGGAAAATAAATCATAATTGCCGACGTTGCAATGCAAAACAATTTTACAAAACGCACAAAAATTAGCCACCTGTTTGTGGGGCCAAACAGTCCGCAGACGACATGCAGAGCGTTTCGTAGTCTCTGCACGTTTTCGAAATTTAACTAGCGTGCGACAAATTACTAACAAGTTTATTTAATGTTTCTGTGAATTTTTCGAAAAATGAAGAAAAATGCGAGTCGATGGAATTTGTACAACAAATACGAAATTTTTGTCGTTATTAGAAAATTTCGATTTTAAAGAATATTTTTTTATAGAGCTGCGATGGTTTTAAATAGTACCAAAAGACTTATAGAACTAGATTTTGGAATATATACATGAACCAAATCCATGAACATTGCCAATGAATTTTTCATGGATCAATTTTTAAAAAATATTTCTTTCAAAGGCCAACAGGAATATTATCAAGGGTCATTAGAGCTATAATCGTAGATTTTTAGATGGTTTTTAAGAACCAAAAAATGTGGAATTTTGAAAGCTTTTCCTTAAACAATATGGATTTTTTGGAAACATTCCTTAAGGACCAACTAAGCTGTGATAGGGATATTTTTCAAAGACCATGGAGCTACAATTGGATATTTTTAAAGTATTTTCAATAATATTTTATTAGGGCAAACACAACAGAAATCGTGGTTCATGATTTGCTTAAGAATATATAATTCTAATACTAAACATGGGGTTTTTTAAGAATATATTTTTGAGGATCAACAAATTGATAATCGAGGATTTGGTAAAGGACCAACAGGGTGCTAAATCGTGAATATATATTCTACAAGAAGCAACAGGAGCTATGATCGAGGATTTTTAAAAATATTTAAAAAAAAACCAACAAAGCTAGGATCATGTTGCTTTTCAGAATATTTATTCAAGGATCAACAGAGCTGTGGTCATAGGTATTTTCAAGGAAGGAGGTTGTATTTTTTTCGGAATATTTTTAGGAGACCTCAAGGATAAACAGATCGTGAATTTTAAAAAAAATATGTTAAAAGGCTTAACAGTTCGTTTTTTATAAATTTTCAAAGATCAACAAATTTAGAATTTTTAAAAAATATTTTTTAGGACAAGATTTTTTCAAGGATCTATAGAACTGTGAACGGGTATTTTTATGCCCTCCACCATACATGGTATGGTATCGTCATTGCGTTATATATATTCTTGATCAGCGTAAAATTCTACGACGATTCAGCGCTGTCCGTTCGTCTGTCTGTTGTAATTATGCTAGAGTCAAAACGAATAAAGATAGGAAGCTAAAATTTTGCATAGATCAGTCGTTTGCCTGTAGGCAGGTAAAGTTCGAAGATGGGCTATATCGGTCCATGATATCGAATAGTCCCCATATAACTATACTGCCGATATTCGGAATTCTAATGATTGTAGCCAAATTTTGTAATGAAATTGTCTGAAAATCCACAAAAGGAGTTCCTTCCGAGTGGTTTACCCCTAGAAGAGAATTGTCTATACAGGTCCACGATATCGTATGTTCCCCTTATAACGGTACCTCCCGATACTCCGTATTCGTATTAAAAGTTTGAAGCTCGTAATGATTGCTACAACCTATAGTAATCATAAATCCCACCTATAGTAATCGTATCACCCACATACAACGGTATCGCCAGGACATTATTCATCGGAGTTGTTTCAAATTTTGTATTTAGAGTTCGTAATGGGTACTACAGTCTGTGACAAAAAATTGTGTATGCATACCCACGTCTTCGTATAGCCTCAATACAACGGTACGCCTAAATGTTCGGTATTTTGAGGATTTTAGGGACATTATTCATAGGAGTTGTTTAAAATTTTCTTATTTAGAGTTCGTAATGGGAACTATAACCTGTATCAGAAAATTGTCTATGCAGATCCAGGTCTTTGTATAGGCCCCATGTATCAGTACATCCCTACATTCGGTATTTTGACGATTTTAGGTGTACCTTGTAATATTCACCGAAATTCTTTAAAATTTCTAATTTGAAGTTCGTAATAGGTACTACAGCCTATGACAGATAATTGTCTTCGTAACATGCAAAAGGATACAAAATAGACCCATAGTCCCCATAGTTTGATGATCACCATAGAATTAAAGAAAGAATTGAGTTATAGGTATCCGTCATTTGTTTGGCTCAAGGATGGACCCTATTAAAATTGGTGATAATCGGTCTGTCGAAGGTCTCGAAGGGAGTGTCCGATTTGGTCCAAACTTGGTGCATCGTAATATTATTATCAAAATTAGATCGATTTCAGAGATAGGCAATATCGGCTCACTCCTTCTGGTAACTCCTTCTTCTCCTTCTTGTAACTCTTATAAAATGTCATGTAAGAGTCCGATCATCTTCAATTTACACACATCACAGTATTTTTATTAACCCAAGATCTTGTGTGGAGATGGAATATATCTCATCACTCCTCCTGGTACCTCCCCCACGAAGGGTCAAAATTTTGAATGCCCATAAAGCTCATAAAATGTAAAATTGACATCCGATTTAATTCAGAATTGGCACATCTCAATATTTTGATTAACACAAGTTATGTTATAAAAAATGGTACAGATCCGACCATTTCTTCTGGAAGCTCCGCCTCAAAGGGTCAAAATTTTGAATAACCAAAACGATTATAAAATCCGAAATAAGCATCCGGTCTTTTCATATTTCCCAAAACCCCTTATTTCTACTAACACAAGATCTACTGTGGAATATATCGATCCACTCTTTCTGGCACCTCCCCCATAAAGGGTCAACATTTTGAATATCCATGAAGATTATAAGAGAAATTGACATCCGATTCTCTTCAGACTTGGCACATCTCAATATTTCAATCAACAAAAGATCTGTAATAAAGATGGTACACATCGGATCTTATGTCAGCCACAAAGTGTCACAATTTTCAATATCTGTCATGACTTGCGAAACATGTCATCGATTTTTTACAACTTGCTATGTCTACACATTTCTCTCAAGTAGAAACCTGATATGAATATGAAATTTCTAATTTCACATGAAATTGGATATATATCTTCTATTTTCTTGTAATTTTGCCCATACCAATATTTGTATCTGCATTAGATAAAGTATGTCAACTATATCTGGTACCTCACGTACATAGTGACATCTTTTAAACAATAATCCCATATCTCATATAGAGTGAAGTAAGTCATTGATGTAGTCCAAACCTGGCACGTTGTAATATTTATATCATATTAATTTAGGACCGATACGAAATGGAGGGTTAACAATTTGAATAATCATTTGGCTAAGGGTGTATATCTGTCCGACTGATATTTATTTACTTGTTTCATATGTCATGTTATATTTTTATTTTTTATATTTTATCCTACTTTTTTGTAAAAAATAATCTAATAAATTAACTTAATTCTGTTTCTTTTAAGGTAAGTTCGTGGGATGTATTGGATTACCAACCGATGACAAGATTTGTTTGCACATGGTAAGGTGGTGCGGTACCAGAAGTTCAATTGGAATTTTTTGTTCACCAAAAAAAAACAAATTAAAAGTTGAATTTAAAATTTTACAATTCCAAAAAAAAAAAATATTGCTTAGCAAGTCAAGCATGTGGCTAACAGCAAAAGTGACTGTAAAACTATGTGAAATAAGCCAAATGCACACATTAAAACATGCCTGTAAACACAAATGTTCACAATCGCCTGCGAAGAAAAAAAGCCAACTATCTAACCTGGAAATTAAGAATTCCACATTTACAGGCTAATTAAACGCAAAACTACTTTAGTTTGCAATTGAATGTTGTTAGCAAGCATTGAAAATGCATTCATGCAACTTGGTTTTTATGATGTGTGGAAACAGAATTGTATTGTCAAAGCGTTTGAGAATGAATTTTTGGGTAACGAAAAAAAAAAAAACACAGAGGCCTGAATGGCATAAAGACGAAAAAACGAACACATGTCATAAAACCTGCTGGCAAGATTGGCAGCAATTGGCTTGCCGTTGTTTTTTGTGAGTTTGCTTTTCAAAGGCTTTCAACGCAATACACATTCATTAAAATACAATGGATTTTCAATTCGGAATTTGTAACAGAAGCCAAAAAACACACCGGATTGCCTGGTTACAATGTTTTCTGGGTATTTCTTTTTTTCTTCATTTCAAGGTTTCTGAATTATGGAATATTCTTTGTTTTTCCAGCAAAAACTAAACTACTTTCAGTCTCAAAAACTGTAGAATCTAGTAACTGTAATGACTACATTTAATTAAATATTTGGCTTATTTTTTTGTAATAATTTAATTCAATTATTTTTTTTTTAATTTTTTTTTTTTTTTTTGTTCATATTTTGGTAGTTATTTTTACAGTTTTCATTTTTTGTTATTTTTTTTTTTTGCAAAGCAATGAAAAAAAAACGCCATTACTTTCCAACTCATTAACTCATATCGGGTGAACGAATGAATGATTTATCATTCATTCACCCATTTCTGTTGAATTGTTTCTTTTTTATTATTTTTCTTTAAATAATTGTTTGCGTGTTTAACCTACTCTCATTTTTTTTTTTTCATTGCAATTAAAATTTATATAGATTTTGTTTGGAGCTACTAATGTAGTTCATTATCTGTTTTCAATTTCACCGCAAAGATTAGTGTGGTCAGAAAAAGTAATGCTACATGAGATAAATAAAGCAGAAGAGTTTCATTTTTTTATTAAGAGATACATAGATTTTAAGAAACTAGCACTTTTTTGGGGGAGAAACTATCACTTTCCTTCGTCAGCGAAAAGTCCACCTTAAAATTCTAGATTCCTTTCAACAGTCCATGTTACACCTTTTTATATCCTCCACCATACATAGGAGGGTATATTAAGTTCATTATCGAACTAATAATTTCAGACAAAACAATTTGTATATATTCGCAATCGGCGTAAAATTCTAAGACGATTTAGCCCTGTCCGTCCGTCTGTCCATTGGTTGGTTTTTCGGTCTGTTGTAATCACGATAGAGTCAAAACAAATAAAGATAGGAAGCTAAAATTTTGTACAGATCAGTCTTTTGTCTGCAGGCAGGTCAAGTTCAAAGATGGGCAGTATCGGTCTACTATATCGTATACTTTTCAATGCTCAAAATGCATAATTTGTTTGGTTTGACAATTTTTTTCGAAACTTCATACATCGTAGTACATTTTCAGACTTTCCGTGTTTTATACAATAATCAAATGCTTTTCGTTTTTCTGAAAGAATAACAGGAATATGCTTACTTTTTACACCGAAAAGTCTTCAAACATCGAATTTTTCAGTCCGAAACCACTTCAACATCTCCATATGAAAACCCTAAAAACCAACAGTGACCAAAATACCTAACTTCAGAATTTTCCTTATTCCAATATCAAATTTTGTAACATTTAGTATCTAAATTAGTACTATTTAGTACATTTGCAAAACCACAAACAAATACCAAAAGAGACCACAATATCAAATGTGCCTACATTCATTCTTCACTCCAAAAGTGGCTCTCATTCCAAATTTCAGAATTCTAACTCATTCCATTTGCCTAATACAAAGTATTCAATTTTTAGTGCATTTTAGTACTTTTCGTATCCTTTTAATACGAGTTTCCACAAAAACCCAGCCTTTGTGTTAAAAGAGTACGAAAACTACAAAAATGTACTAAAAATTAAATACCTTGTATTCTTCAAAGGAAATGAGTTAGAATTTAGAAAATTTGGAATGAGAGAGGCTACACGCCAACACAACAAAATGAACGTGTTTACTTACCAAAGAGGTCAGCTGAAAATGTGCACCTTCGTTTGGCCACCAGAAATCAAGCGACGGCCATGATGATGGTGTGGTCGCCATAACAGCCGATGGTCGCTCTCCGCTCGTATTAATCGACCGTGGCATCAGAATAAATGCCAAATATTATCGCGAAAATATTCTGAAGGGCGTATTAAAGTCTTGGGCACGCAAACATTTTGTCCGCAGACCTTGGACATTCCAACAGGACTCAGAACCATCGCACTAAGCACGCGCCACCCAAGAATGGTTACAGAATGAGGTTCTTCGCTCCAGCGCACAATGGCCACCAAAATCTCCGGATACCAATCCGTGGGACTATTGTGCCTGGAGTATTTTGGAAAGCAAGATTGGTACTAAAAAATACCAAAGTGTCGATCACCTTAAGCAAGCTATTCACCGGCAATGGGCCAAAATACCGCAGAGCAACATTCGGGTAGCGTGTGATGGTTTCATTGGGCGTTTGAAGGCCATAATTCGTGCCAAAGGTGACCAATTCGATAAAATCTAAACATATTCTAAAATCTGATGCTATTTCCGACACTTTTTGCTTTTATTCAAAAAAAAATTTAAAAAAACATGTAAAAATTATTTCGTTTGACTTTGTTTATTCTGTGTGAGAGAATAGTTTAAGTCATTATGGTGTTTAGAGGCCAGATTTTTAGAGGCATAATTGTCATACGAGCTTTTTAGACCACCATATCTTTATTTGTAGCTTTCCTGAGAGTACTCTCCTTAGGGCTAATGCTCTATCAGAAAGAGTGGATCTTTATATTAAATTGTTCATATTTTCTATAAAGAATACAAAAATATTTGGGTGCGTAGAATTTGAAGAAAATCTGTCATGGCTTTCTCCTTTAGATCTTCTCAAAATATTAACATTTTTGTGGGGGAGGTATAAGAATCTAGAGAACATATTATCAATTTTTGCACCCAAAATTCCTAGCCAAGTATGGCTATGTTCCAGAACTACAAGAATATAAAATTTTTCACTACAATAACAGATTTTTCCTTTATGGAATCGAAAAAAATTGCAGGTTCTGGAACAGAGCATATGTCATAAAATTAAATATATTCGTCTTTCAAAACATACATTTAATAAAATTAACCTCATAATTTGTATTTAGCAGACGGTTTTACTTAAATGGCTTTCTTCTAAAAAGACTAAGCCACAAAATCCATAGAAATCTGCTTGCATTTGAATCCAATTATTGCATAACATTGTTATAACGAAAATTTCTAAATTTGCATATGTAAAAATTCCTCTAAATTTCTAAAATTCCAAATCTCCCCCCGAAAATACCAGTTCTACGCCGATGAATTATTCATTTACATAATTCGTTTACATATGTATGAATGCATTGACAAAAAAAAAGTAGTTAAGAAGAAAAACGAAAGTGATACTTTTTTTCCAAGACCAAGCCAGCGGCAAAACTTGAAAGCAAGCGACACATCAAGACTGTAGGAAGATTACAATTCATTCATCTGAGGCAAATTTCATTTTGTTTGAAAATCAAACACACGCACATCCAACTCCCCATTCAAATGATTTCCAAAACGTAATGATGATAACAATTTATTAAATTCTAATTAACATAAATCTAACTTATGATCTTTCAAAACTTGCCACCCATCACACACAAACGTCAAAGCCACATACATACACTTTCACTTTCAATACTCGACGGCTGGTAGTGGGTTTGAAGCTTCTTCAGTTAACCAAAAAAAAAAATACTTTTGGTTTTTTTTTTATTATCTATTGCCTGCCTGCCTGCCACGGCGCTGGTGGCAACTGTCAATGAACTCGCATTGAAGTAAAAACAATTAGCGCCCATTAGGTGATGATGAGACTTTTTGTCGTTGGTGTTGCTGTTATTGTTGTTGTTATTTAATTGTAAAATGATGTTTTTCCACATTTCATTTCCATGACTTTATGACGCTGTCATCGAAGGCAGCGAGAGAAAAAGACGGCAACAAAACACCAACTCTATAATATTTTGGGTGCTGAGTGACGTCGACTGACTTTGGCTTACCAAATAAATGACGATTTGAATGGTTATGGCTGCTTGGCTGTCTAGCTGACTGCCTGGCTGACTGAGTGGATAATAAATTGTGGGAATGAAATTTTTTAAATACCTGACCACTCACATTTCTATGCATTTCCCTGCTTTACTTTCCTGTCTGAGGGCCATAAAAAACGCGCCTGGTAGGGGAGTTCTCTTAATCAAGTGTGTAATTCATTATTAAGGGATCATAAAAGTTATGTTGAGAAATATACTGGCACTCACACACACATATTTGATATGGTCTAAAGGGTGTTGGTGTGTTATGTTGTGAATTTCTTAATTTCGAAAATTATGAAAAATTTTAGTGTTCCGCGTCAATATAAAATTTAGGTGTTTTATTTTTTGCCAACTTAATAAAAAAGCATTGGATAGAGTTCGGATACGTACAGATAAATTCCTGAGGCTAGTGCCTTTTTAGGTCTTCTGTCAGAAGAGTTTTTAAAAGTATTCTGTCAAGAAAAGTATTGGATAGAGTTCGGATACCTACAGATAAATTCCATTGGCCTTTAAATGATCTTATGTCTATATAAATATCCAGCAACTAGTATTGACTACTACATACCCTGAACTAGGAAAATAGTAAGAACTATATATCCTCTACATTACCGGTAAGCAATCAATTAATGATTTAAA